CGGTGCACCCCAGACCGTTCAAAGTAGGTGATTGGGTCTTGAGGAAAGTCATGGGCAATACCCTGGTGCCAGGTGAAGGCAAACTAGGGGCAAATTGGAAAAGACCCTACAAGATAACCGGTCTGGCAAGGGGGCATACCACTTGGAGGACTTGGATGGTAAAGGAATACCCCGGCCGTGGAATGCGGCCAACCTCAAACTGTATTATTTCTAGCTTTTGCTTTTTTTTTTTGTGCAAAGGAACTTTTTGCCTTACACTTCAAGATGTAATATTCTTTTTGTCAATATATAGAAGTGTCACATCTTTGCCTTGGCATTTTTATTGTTGCTTTGTATTTAGTCATTCTCAACCGAGGTGCTTATTCTGGTTGAAAGAGTTGATGATTTGTTCAACTATGATTCAAACCGAGATGTTTACTCCGGTTGAAAGAGTTGATGTTTTGCTCAACTTAGTTATTCTCAACCAAGATGTTTATTCCGGTTGAAAGAGTTGATGGCTTGCTCAACTTAGGTGTTCTCAACCGAGGTGCTTATTCCGGTTGAAAGAGTTGATGATTTGTTCAACTATGATTCAAACCGAGATGTTTACTCTGGTTGAAAGAGTTGATGATTTGTTCAACTGTGATTCTCAACCGAGATACTTATTCCGGTTGAAAGAGTTGATGTTTTGCTCAACTTAGGTGTTCTCAACCGCAACCGAGGTGCTTATTCCAGTCGAAAGAGTTGATGATTTGTTCAACTATGATTCAAATCGAGACGTCTTTTTCGGTTATATCAGTTAATTAATGTGGTTTGTCTCGCCGAGGTATTTTGTTCGGCTGAAGTTATAAGGCTTGAAGACCGCACAAACACTTGATGAAATTAGAGCTTTTTCATTGATGTGAAAGTAAATACAAAAGTTGGGGAACTTAGCCCAGTTACATGTTCAGATAAAAAGCAAGTAAAAAGAAAACTAGGCTAAGGGGGATAAGTTGGTGAATTCATCCTCGGTTGTCTCCAAGTTGACCGTTAGAGATTGGTCTTGGACACCGGTTTCTATTTGGCCGGGTTGCTCCTGCTCTTGGTGGTCTTCTCCCTCAGCATCTGCCTCGGCTGCTCCTTCAAGTCCTTCCTCGGCCTCAGCCTGCAACACGCTGAAGATGTCGTTGGCATATGGCACGAGATAGGTCGGTAGGAAGACAGCTGGCGAAGAGGCAAACACGTCGGTATCAGGACCTTGACCGAGCTGTTCGCAGGCAAACTTCCAACCCGCTTTGAAATAAATGTCTTTGGTGGCGAAGACCTGCTTCTTATAGCTGTCATCGGCCTCCTTAAAGCCGGCGTTGTTGGCGTTTTCGTACTCCTTCTCCCTTGACTCTTTGAGTGCGTCCAGCTCGGCCTGGAGCTCATCCCTCTTTTTCTCAGCGTCGCCAAGCTAGCCGAGCAACTTGGTGTTGTCAGCGTTGGCAATCTGCAGTGAAGACTTTGCTCGGCCGAGCTCAGTTTGATGACTTTGGACTTAGCTGGCAGTGTCGTTTGCCTTCTGCCGCAGTCGATGAATTCTCTCCATGACCAAGTGTTGCTTCTGGTTGGCCTGGGGAAAAAAGCTTGATCAGAGAAGAAACCGTGCAAACACTTGTGAAAATTTAAGTATAAGTTGGGACTTACCCTGGTCATGGACTTCACTGCGGATTTCACCAACCGGGTGTCTGGCACGTGGTCGCTGCCAACCACGTCACTCGGTAGAAGGAGTGCTTTTGAAAGGTCAAAGGCGAGCAGATGCTCTTTGTCGCCCTTGACGGAAGCGGTTGCCAAGATGTCTTTACCCCGGTGTTTGAGTTGGGGCCTCCATGCCGGTGTTAGGTCGACGGTGATGGCAGGTTACTCGGTGCTGAGCTCGGTCACCAGCTCGGCAGAAAGGTCCACACGTAGTCTTTTGCCAGCACGGCGTGTCTCTCCTCTGGCTTGACCAACTGCCGGAGAAGCCAAGGCAACCACGGTCCCACTGGATTGACCGGCAACAGTTAGGCGAGTTTGGATGCTCGGGATCTCGGTGGAAGTTGCTGTGAGTAGGTTCTTGATGCGGCTTCTCTTTGCCATCTCTTCCGCCTCGGTTAACCGGATTAGGGGCACGTCCGGTAGTGTTGGGTCTGGAGGAGGTGATGGAGCACGGAGAAAGTCTGTGACCTTACTCCGGCGTGGAGCAGAGTACCGGTATGTTGGAGTGTAGCCGAGCAGCTCGTTGTAATCTCGGTTGCGATAACGGAGCACGGCCCTGATGGCTTCTTCGTTGGGATAGTGGTAGTTGGCTTGTAAGGCTTGGATTGCTGCAAAGGAAACAAGAGAAGTGTTAAAACACAGAATATGGAGCAAAAGCAATTGACCGAGCAAGTTGGCACGGCTTACATGTGGAACTGAAATTCTTGCTGATCAACCAGCCCGGTACGTCGGCCGTTTCATAGTTACCAGACACCCAGAAAAAGCCGTCGTTGTGTAAGTCCTTGTCTGGGGTGCCGGTCACTATTTTTTCTTTGCCCGGTCGAATTTTTAACTAATAGGCGAGGCCGTCGCCCGTGTGCCCAAGGGTGTATTGACGAAGTATCTCGGCTAAACCTAAGTTGGTTCCTAGCCGGTTGTTCAACTCGTGGACTCCGTTGATTATTCGGTAAGTGTTGATTGAGACTTGAGTGGGTGCTAACCCGGTGCGGCGCAAGAATTCGGTCATCAGTGGGTTGACCGGGAAACGGAGGCATCCTTCAATGATGGATAACACGGTGAAGGAGCACTGGTCTAATCTGTCCTAAGGGATTGTCTCAATTTCGCCGAGCTCTAGGTGGACATTGGCCGGGATACCGTACTCTTCCCGGAACACGGCCAGGGCAGCTGGAGTATCAATAAGGAAGCGGAAGCGCCCCATGTGTAGCTGGCTAGTTTAGCTCGGCTGGGGTGGTTTGGCACAAACTGGGGTTTAATGGTGGCTATGGAAGATATCTTCAAACCAGCTTGAGGGGGAGTGCTGGAAATTTGTGTTAATGCATATAATAAGATAGTGGCATATGATAGTGGTGTTGGTGGTAGATAGTGGCATGTATAGAATAGGATAGTGGTGTTGGTGGTAGATAGTGGCATGTATATAATATGATAGTGGTAGATAGTGGTAATATATAATATGTAAGTGGCATATAATGGGTTATAATGATATTTGTAATATCTCCTATATAAGGAGTGTCATTTGGTCTTGTAAAATAAGAAGTTTTGAATATAACAGAAATATATTCCTTCTTCCTCATATTTTCGGAGTTCTTCTTCCTCATATTTTCTAAGGGGTTATGTCCTAAAACCTACGGATTTGGTGCTCTAAAAGGAGAAATATCAAATGAAATGACAATAAGAAGAGTTGAAGGACTTAACAGTTGAGGGCAGTGGCTCTTTCTTCGAACACAAACTCTGAAATGGCAAGGGAGGAATGGCACGAGCTCTGGAACGTCAAAGAGAAAGGAAAGGCAAGAAGAGTGGAATGAAGGAGGCTGGGCATGCTTATGAGGTTGAAAAGCCGCCAAAATTTGAATGAGAAGGGACGGTTAGCTGCTCAAGGCCAATCAGCACGCTACACGTGTCCCCCCATTAACGCAGCGTTAGAGTGAAGAAACAGGAAGGTCAGATGAGGCGTCGACCGAGCAAGTCAAGAGACAAGAAGGTCAGACGAGGCGTCGACCAAGCAAGACAAGGAACCAAGCACGAAAATTAGCCCAGTTTGCCTCTGGCAAATTGTGAACCGAGGAAGAGTTCAACCCAGTTGGAACAGGTAATCTCGGTCACGCTAGCACGGACGGAATTAAGGGGCAATTGAGAGGGAGAAGTATGATCTGGATTAGGCCATGGTAATACCTGACATATTGTGGGCCGAACACATTTGGGCCAGGAGCGATTTTTGCTCGGTAATGGCAAGGGCGTGTGGAACCGAGCTGCTTGACCTTGTCGGCACGGAGGCTGGTCAAGTAAGGGTTCCACGGTTTATGTGTTGCGCGGTTAGAAAGTGCGCATCCATAGCTCGGCATGAAGGTTCATGCCTGAAACTCGGCAAGAAGACCTTTGGTTGACCAGTATGACCAATCTCAAGCTTGGCTTCGCCGGAATACAGTCGAGCATAGCTGGAAAGGAGCTCGGTCATTGGAGCACTTGGGCATGAAGCGCAGCATGGCCGTTTACAGCCGAGATGCTGCAGTTCGGTTGCCGAGCTCCCAGTAGAGTGGGTTGGAAGTTGGGTTAGGTGATGTTCAGCAAGATTTGTGCTGACAAATGGGATAGCAGCACCACGTGTCGAGAGAACACTAGGAGTAGGTTTGGGGGGTAGAAGGTATATAAGCAAGTCTGCGCCCCCCCATATCGTAGATGACACATTTTTGGTGAGATAAACACAAAACACAACTCAGTCCTCTCTCTCTCTCTCTCTATCCCTGTGTGTGTGTCTAACTTGATCGTCGGAGGGGTTTTCCGGCCACACACCGCCGTGTAGCTCACCGCCATCGTGCTCGCAGGTAGATCGGACAAACAGGAGCTTGGAAGAAAGGAGTACGGGCTTGCCTGAATATTTGCTCCCCGCACACTAATAAAAAAAAATAAAAAAATCAAATACTAATGCATTATTAGGTTGCCAATGCGTTGTTATGTTTGCCAACACAATGTAATCTTATTACAACACAATGTTTTCCAACATAACACAATCTTATTTCAAAAATCAATATAAGAATCCCATGTAAAACACAATGTTGAAATGAAAAAATGTACACCCTCTATCGGCTCCTTGTATGATTTCCAATTGTGGCTTTCCAACTTATCACATCTCTCACACCTTATTTGCTTCAGTTTCTCACCCCTTGATGGGATTCTATTCTTTTTCGACCTACCGAGTGTTCTTTTCACAATTGGTGGGTATATAGTGAAGTCTGTGGGATCAAAAGGCGACTTTTCTACCGACGGTATAGGGAATATGGCACCAGAATAGGTTGCACGATACGTCTCTACATGAAAGTAATGTTCCACACAATCATTGAGATTATAGCAGCTCTTCTAGCAATAACGGCATGGTCACATGGAAATTCGTTGATTTGCCATTTGAAGCAAGAATACATACACCTTACAATATCAATTGTAACAGATGACATAGAATGAACCTCAAACACATCCTCATTAGCTTTGCTCACCTGCCAAGACCTGTTGTCATTGAATGAATCAATAAGCATTGTTTCAAATATAGGACAAATAAGCTCATTTCACTTGTTTGCTTGGTCACGCCACACAGACATTTGCCGTATCAACTGAGTATGAATTGTGTCCACCAGCTGAGTGATAGGAAGATTGCGTGCTTCTTTAATCCAATTATTAAATGACTCCGCCGCATTAGATGTCATCTCCCTATAACGTATGCCCCTACACAACATCACAAACATTGTACAATATTGAATTAAATTTCTTCAAAACTGAATATGAAATTTCACATCGTCACAAAACATAACTGAAATTTCACATTGCTACCATTCTAAACTTGACAAATGGAATACATCAGGAAACTACTATTACCTGAAATGAATTCGCCCAGTACTCAGGTGCCAATTCCTTGAAAAAACTATGTGCCTGTTGCTTACCCTTCTCTTTTAATTTCTCAAGCTTTTCATGGAACCCTACCACAGTTGGCTCGTAAGCACAGTCACCCAAACTACTAATGCTGTGGTCCCTAAATCCATTATCAATTCCCTTCATCCGGTCTCTTAAGTTGTTCTTCAAGTGTCACAAGCAATAATCGTGGTGAACAGATGGAAACACCTTCGACATCGCTTCTAACAGACCAAGATTACGGTCTGAAATAAAAGTAATTTGACGCTTATCATCAACAACTTTGCCCAGTTCGTACAAGAACCACGACCAATTGGCCGTGGTCTCTGAATCAACAATCACAAATGTAACAGGAAATAGACCTACAACACAACACCATTAAACAACTGTTCACAATATTCCAATGTGAATAGTAACACAAGTAGTTTACAAAAACACTATAAAGGAAACAGGTCATGTGATTGTTTATATTTACATTGCCTTATTACTATTGTTGTTTTTGGATTTGATTTCGTAAACATCAATAATGTGACCATTCACATTACTGTTCATTAATGGATAAACTCACTTTAGTAAACACTGGTGTAAACATTCACATCAGTGTATAATAACATGAATGTTCACATTACTGTTAATTTCTCAATCAGTCATATTATGTTGTTCACATCAATGTGTATTGATATAAACATTGACACCAATGTAAATGTGGAACACGCTGTGTAATCGTTTGTCATATGTCCATACTGTGCCACTCAATGTGAATATTTACATGAATAGACAGCTAAAAAAAATACTAACCATTGTTTCCATCTTTTGTCGTTGCTGCAAATAGCTAACCTTTGTACTTTCCTTTGAGGAATATTTCATCCAGGAATAATAAAGGCCGACAAGAATTAAACCCATAAATACACGTAGCGAATGATACAAAGAAATGGCAAAACTGTTGACTACTCGCATCATAGTCAATATTGACATAACTCCCCGGATTGTAACGCATCACAGTATCCGAATACCACCGCAGCTGGTCAAACGATAATGAGTGATCTCCATGAATAACAGCCTTTGCTTTCTCTACGCCTAACCATACCACGTGGTAACTCACATCTAGCCCATAATCCCTCTTCAAAATAGCTACCACCTCACACGGCCAAGTCAACGGCTTGTTCCTCACAATTTCAGATATAGTACTCGACACCAAGTCAGAACTAACTCTCGGATTCTTCGATGTTCGGACATCCATACCATAACTATATATGCACATCACTGAACCTCTTGATGTAGAAAAAACCATTTGCTCATTGTGCTTTACAATGTATAGCCCACAAGTAGCCTCTCTCCTCGCTCATCGCACACACCGCAGTAACCCTTGTTGTCTCATTCTTGACATACGTAAACTGAAACCCAGATTGGATGACATACTTACATAAAACATCACGAAATTCTTGTGCACCTCCAACAAATCGTTGTCCCACATGCGTAATACCGTTTGCCCAAGGTGTTGACAACAACACATTCTCCTTATGGTGGCAAAATCTACGTAGTGCATCAGTTTCTTCCTCACCTCCCACACATAGTGACCCAGAGCTACTTGACTGACCAATTTCACTTTTCAACTCAAGGACAACTTCTACATGTTGTACCCTCATTGATTTAGCAAGCAATAACATGTTCTGAAATTCTTCCTCATTGTTCAAATCACACCTATTAATCTCAAGTAGCCGACAGAACAATGAAATAGAACTAGCAGACAACTCAACCCATTTTTCACACAAACACTCCACCAAACACGAATAACACAATGCATGGGAAACATTTATTACAGTTGTACTACAACCATATGTGCACACCAACTTTATAAAGGTATCCATCTCCTGTAAAAACACAACAATACAACAGTCAACAATAATCCAAACGATATGAAAATTCACATTGTGCAAAATTAAATGCCTATGTATACAGTTCAACTACTAAATCCATAATGAAAACTATCACCACCATCTTTACACAACATAAAACATTTTACAATATCAAAATGATACCACCACAATAAGGTAACAGTATACGACATGCAAGCAACCCTTCATAACTTCATATTAACAAGATGTGAACATCCACATTGTTACATATACTTTGAATTATCACCCACACAGAGCCTCATTAAGCAAACATCAAAGTAAAATGAGAACATCTACATTCTTCACATAATCTGAATGACCTCCTCTCCACAAGACCACGTAAAATGCATATAATTGAACAAACAGAGCATCTCATCCATCATACAAATCAAAACATAAACTGAACATGTATTCATAACGAAAATGATACTAACCTTAATCATGCAATCCTACACTCGTCCTGTAACTCGAAAACAACTGATTTCAACTGATTATACTCCAGAAAATGTCACAATCGAACACCGTCCAATTCGTCATCTTCACTTGAAAATCACTGAACCATACTACAACAGCAATAATGAAACCCTAGCACATCAAAGCCTTGAAAAAAGCATGCAAAATAAAAATGTATCCATCTGAATTAGAATGATAATCAAAAGCGTGAAGATAGAAACTACCAAAATCTCCTTGTAGTGCCTTAATGCTTTAATCAATTGCTTTGATTTTTAGTGTTTGTGTGACAACTCTCACAACTGCTCAGTGCTAATCTATGATTAAGCATGTTAAATGACTGATTGACTGAAATCCTGAACTGATTGATTGAGTATATAGCTTAAGTGCATTTCTATCTGTTAATTGTTGAATGATCTGTTCATGTTTTGCGCTTTAAACTGTAAATTGAAGGCCTTATCGGCGGTCGAATCTGAAATCGAGTAATGTTTTATGCTAGTTAGAATTTATGTGATTTTATGGTATATTTAATTGAAATGTGATTTGGTATGATTAAATTAGATTTAATAATGTTAAATTACATAAGTTGGCTTTATTTACCTAGTTGCCATTGAGTGGCCTTTCTCTACATCAATATTTGGGACTTGATTAGGAGCTTTTGACACTTTATTCTCAGCCCCTTTCCTTATACCAAACCGACTAGAGAGAGAGAGAGAGAAATAGGAGATAGATTGATTTCAACCAAATTGGCTTGGAGGCTTAGGAGATTGAAGGATTTCTTGCATATTGAGCTTCTACATTTGAAATTAGAGACTTAAGGTAGAGAATTTACCTTCTTGTTCATATTTTGGGTTGGTTCTTGCATGGTTTAGAGGATTGTTGGAGTTTAGAGCCAAATTATGGCTTAAATTGTTGAATTGAAGCTTGGATCATGCATGCATGTACATATTCTTGCATTTTGAAGTTGATTTTCATGAAATCTTGCATGCAAGTTTACATTCTTGTTCTAGTCCATGAGTTCATCATGGTTTTGAGTTTAATCTTGCTTTGGATCATGTTTTAAGGCATTAGAATTCACTAGAAACATGTGCAAATCTACTGTACCATAAATTTGAAGACTCAAGCAAGTAAGAAAATGATGTATTTTTGTTAATAATAGAAGGTACAACAGTCATTACATTCATTTTGAAAAGGCCATCAGACATGTAACCTTTTCCTATATATATCCCATTTTGGTAAGTACAAACTTTTCACTTTCAAAAACTAGCCTAAACCCATTTTTACTCAACAAAGATCTGGAAACAAGATTCTTGCGAATGTCTGGTACATGTAG